GTCGTCGTCGTTTTTTTTTTACCCCCACTGCTGAAAACCCTCTAACAGGTCTTCTGTGCAACAACAAGGTTTGTATCTATTTATGTTCTCAGATACTCGATGATACATACACGGTAGCATCTATTTTTTACCATATTTGTTTCTGAACAATAGAATCTGATTAACAATAACGGCAAATTTGTGTTGTTTTTTTGTTCGTTTGTTTGAAGAATTTAACACATTTTATTTAGCAGAATATTGAGTGAAACTGTTTTTGTGTGGAATATCAAAAGAGTAGCAAAGGTAACTGTAGTCTTCTTTGAAATTTTCTAATGGTAATATAATACGCAGAGTAAAGGAAAAAAATGGGAGTAACTGAGGTCTTTCCTTTTTTTTTTGTTGTATTAATAATATTCATTTTTTCCTTGTAAACATTTTTGCAGATTATTCATTTGAAGTCTTTTTTTTCAGGGTCTTCTATTTAATATTATATCTGTTGTATCACAGCTGTCTGTCCTAAATGGTAGCAGTGCCATATTGTCGTTGTCGAGTTTTGTACATCGGCAGTGCTGTTCCAACGATCACCAAAGATGGACTTCAAGGAATCCAACAACCGTTACGTGAACGTTATCCAACTGAAGAGAATGCCGATACACGTGGCATAGATTCTTGGTTAGCATGCTGCAATTAACTGTAGCGATTGAACTGTTGTAATTTTTTGAAATCAAATTACTTGGGTATTGTTTAACGAGGCTTTTTTTCTTCCTGTCTACTGGCTATAAATTCTGGCAAACTGTATGTATCTAAAGGTTGAACTTTTATATTGCAGTATCTAAAATTTCTTTTTTTTGCTTTATACTAATATCTGCCTAAAATTTTAATTTTTTTAGTTTGAAAGAATGAAAAAAAAATTTTCTTCTCTTTTTCTCTCTCTGTGATAATAAATATACAAATAAATGTGTGTAATGATTGAAAAGATGAAAGATTTTGTTGCTATGAGTTTCTTTTTACCGTCTCTTTCTAAAGTCATAAATTGTCAATTGTCTATTGATCATGTTTTTTTTTTTTTGTAAAATATAACATTAATTTTAGAACAGAACAGAAAAAAAAAGAGAAGAAACAGCTTTTTTTAAGGGTTACCAAGAAATGTTTTTGTTTTTTTCTTTATTTGCAGGCTTTCTGTTTGGTCCAATGGTATTTTATTAGAATACATTGAAGGAGATAAGAAAACGGAAACAGCATTTCATCCAATAAATTCATTACATTATTGCGCTGCCGTACGTTATGTCAATGTCACGGGATATGCAATTGAGGGTGGCGGTGAACGGTTTTTACCGTTGGATTCACCGTTTGCCTGTAACGAAGATTCACCTCATCCGCCAATGTTTGCAGCAATTTTTAGACGAACTACCGGAATTAAGGTCTCAATTTATTCCTGTCTTCTTCAGTTTTTTTTTCTTTTCAGCCTTTTCCACATCTTTTTTTTTTT